CCAAATATGCAGGTGAGTTTCCCAGCAACATTTGGAGTGGGAGCACAGCCTAGGCTGCTACTTCCAGGGTTATATTATTTCTAACAAAAAGTATATTTCATTTAGGGCCTAAATTTTAGGCTGACCACCTCCAGCAGGAATCAGCCTCGTGTCTGGATTGCACCATTCAGAATGCTGGGGAGGGGTGCAGGTTTAAGTAACTGAATGCTCCTCCATACAGAATTTGTGTTGAAATCTTTGCATGTTGTGTTTTAATCCACATTTCTCCTAGTTATGATGTGTGCCTGGAGAGAGACAGCATCAGATCATGTGATCTCTCCCTGCAGTCTGAAGTGGTACAGCTCAGACACAGGTTTACCCCCTTGGTGAGAACTAGGCCAGAGGGAGCTAATAGGGCAGAGTAAGGAGTATTAGCAATGTAATCCTATATGCGTCGATTCAGAAATAAGTACCACTGAACTGAGTAGGCTGACACTCAGGTAAGAGTGCTTAGAATTACAGCCTAAATCGCTTCAGAAGCAGATGAAAGATGCTGGGGATACCATGAGCAAAGAGCCAGGAACACTTCGCGACAGCATGTTCAGATGCTTTGCTATCTCAGAAGCATCTTGCTTCCAGCTCGGCATGGTGGCCTTCCCCATCTTGGTGCCATCCAGATGTGTTGGACCCCAACTCCCACCATCCGCCAGCCACTATGGCTGGTTGGGGGATGCTGGGAGCTATAGCCCAACACATCTAGAGGATGCTGGGGAGGGGATGGTTTGGTATAGGTCATATCAGTTCGTTGCCATTAAGTTTGTTCCTGAAAACATTGCCTTCTTCTCCTTAGGCTCAGCCAAAAATGTTAGAGTCCTTCTCGGGGGTGCCCCCTTTCCAGTATGGAATGATCTGCCCACTGAGCCCCCCCTGGTGCCAACATGGCCTCTTTTTGGTGCTATGTTAGAACTGCCCTCTACTCCCATGCATGTACTGGGATATGCTACCTGTTTCAATTAGGCTTTTTTTTAATGCTTTAAGCTGTTTTGAAATTTGCGTACTGGAATTTTACCCTGTACTTAATTATATTTGTACTTGCATTGGATTCATTTTACTATTATATCCTTTGTTATGAATTATTGTGAACTCCCAGAGAGCATCAGCTACTGAGTGGTATAGAAATGAAATTATCCATAGCTGCAACCATAATGAAGACATGCATGTCACACCTTGGGTTGCCTCTGCCTCCACATGCCAGCTTCCAGCCATGCACGTCACGTCAGGAAGAGGGCTGGACTGTCCCAGGAACCAGGAACACCATCACAGGTGCTTTCAGGGCACAGCTGAGAAGCAATCGTGCAGTGCAGCTGGAGGCCCTGCAGACCAGCATGAAAGGCCTCTCTGCCAGGCTGCCCTCTGCCACTGCAATGCAAGCTGGCCCTGGGACTCCTTGCGCTCTGGCTCTGGCTCCTTCACCTCCATGCCTCACTTCCCGTCCCTGCCTTGCTCCAGCCCTTCTCCAGTTGTCCCTGCCATGCTTTGGTTAGACCCGCCTTGCTCCTGCCTGCCCCCATCAGTCCCTGCAGCCTCCCTCCTCAACCTTGACCACCTGTACGTGACTGCTGCCCCAGCATATGACCCTGGACTGTTTCCAGACTGTGCTGTCTCTCTCGGACCATACTGGACTGCCTGCTGCCTTGTTTCTGATCTCAGATCATGGGCCACACTGCCAGCCTTTGGCCCTACGGAGACACACCTCAAACCAGCGCCCTGGGCCCAGCTCTCTGCCCACCCCTAGAAGCCACCCATGTCCCAGTCCCCACACACGTGCTGAGAGGAGGTTGTGTAAAGGGCCCACACTGAGAACATGTGTGTAAGGATGGTTTTAGGAGCTCCTGAAATGGTGTGAAGATTTGGTGAACAGAGTTCTGTGTGAGGCATCAGTCCACACACACACACAGAGATCCTTCATGCGGAGCAGCCCTAGCAGAAGTCAGCATATCCAACAGACATCACACCACAAGTGGTCACAAGAATTTCCCTATACAGTTGGACAGATTCATGTGGGAGGAGGCTCTCAGTGGCTACTCGCCTTGCTGGCTATGTGCTACCTCCTTCACCAGCGTGGCCTGCCTGCACACACCAGTTGCTGAGGAGCTTGGGCAGGTGGAGGTCCTGGACCCATCCTGCTTGAAAGATCCCGTGGGCAGCTGGTTTGCCATTGAGTGTACGGAGACCTGGACTAGATGGGCCATGGGTCTGATCCTGAATGGCTTTTCCTATTTCTTAATAGGACCGTATGTTGCACAGTACTTGACTCCACCTGCACTAGCTCTGAAGCTGGAAAAGCCACTAGCACACTCAGTGTATCCTTAAGCAAGTCACGGAGGAGTCAACCTCCTTCCCAGTGCTTGCAAATGCTCTTGCTGGGCACTGGAAGTATTTGTGCGATGGCAAACTATGCCCCAGCTCCTGCAGGGTTTTGGTGAACAAAGCCAGCCTCCTGCCCATTTTCAGAAGGAGGGCTGTTGAAGGGGAAGAGGCATTGTTGTTTGAGAGCAGAGAATGTTCTCAAGAGTTGTTCAGCAGAGAACTTGCCTAGGGTGTTTCTGTACCTGAACGAACAGAAAACACACGCACTAAAGGATTCTTCAAAATGGCAGAGGGACACATAGAAAGAACCAACTGTGATGTCTTGGGAGCACCCAAGCGTTTCTCCAAAGCATAAATATCACCTCCTTGCCACCTCAAAATCTGTGGAGCCCATTTTTATTGGAACTCAAGCAGAAAAGCAGGCCTTGCAATGGCAGAATTGTCAGACTGTGAAAGTTCCCTTCGCCACAGAATAAAGTGGGACTGCTAATGTCTCTCTGTGTGGGTAAAAGCTTTGACACTCAGTGATACAGCTTTGCCCTCTTGGAGCAGCATGCAGAATAGGCGAGGAATTAGCTATAAAAACAGAAGAGCTCAACTTCCCAGGAGGAAGCACTCAGTGGTGGTACCGAGCAGGCACTTATTACTTTCCATGTGGTTTCTTGCACATCTTGTTATGCCACTCAGCTTGGCCTCAGCAGAGCACTGGCTTTATTCACAAAATGTGTGCGCTTATTAAGAGGGGAGGAGCAGAGAAGGGCTGCTCAACTTCTCGTGCATCTCTCACTCCAGGGCAGGTGTGAGCAACATGCAAGTGCTGGGTTGCATGTAGCCCCCAACACCTTCCCAAAATTCACCGCAGTGGCAAGTAGAAAAGCCAGTGGAATGGCAGTAGCCAGGCTACATTTACCCTGAGAACAAACTACAGTGCAGCTTCTTTACTCCTGCATGCTGATTTGTTGCCAAAATTTGGTGGCAAACAAACATAGTTTTTGGTTGCTGTTTCTGCCAAATGCAGTGGCACAATGACAGCAAGAGTGAAGCCAGAGGGGTGCCCATGGGGGCAAAACTGCCTCCCCCAGACTCCCCCAAGTCACCTACTTGACACAACAGAAGTACCTTCCTTCCTTCTTTCCTTCCTTCCTTCCTTCTCAGGGACCTTCCCAAAGTGTTCAGGGATTGAGGTAGGGGGAGCTACTCCCATGGATTCCCCCAGCGTCAAGGCCAGGGCAGAGAAAGATAGAAAAGAGATTGCAGGCATAAGCTATAATCTGCATATGTGCACAGGGGCAAACTCCGCAATGTCAACAAGCAAACTTCTGTAGTTCTAAGAAACACTTTTATTGTTTCAAAGCCCTCTGAAAGAGGGACAGTGTGGCGTGTGCTGCAGGCTTGGGGCAGAGGCAGTTTGCCCCCCCCCCCCCCGGACTGACTCTGAAAATGCTCCTTCGCTGTAATTAGGTATTTAGAAGCCCGCTTTATCATCCTTTCAAAGCTGGTGGGGGTGGGGGGAGCAGCAGGGGAAATCCCTTTTCACCAGTTTCTGATTGCAGCAGATGCGGATCTCGCACGGGGCATCTCTGGCCAGTGGGGCAGAGGCTCCCCATTGCTGCCTCCCAATAGATTCTAGGAACATGTCGGCCTATATGTATGTATTCTCTCACACACTGTGCCTGTTAATACCTGGTCTGCGACACAGTTTGGGCTCGCAGCTCCCGTGTGTGCTCCCGTTTGCCTCTGCGACAATGAGGCGGTCGGACGCAGTCACCAGCCCAGCCCTTCACAGAAGCCTGGGATGGGCATGTCTATTCAGCAACATGTCACAGAAAAGCTTATGTGCCAGAAAGGGTTGCGAGATGCATGCACTTGAATAGAGGTCACTCTAGAAGAGAAAACAAAGCTCTCCCTATGACTCCCCGTTATTCTATTGCACAACATTTAAACACACAAAGCCAAATGGCTGCCATTCCCATGTGACCGATTAATGCTAGAATGAGAAGAACCAACCGCTGCTCCCCCCGCCCCCATTCCCGTTGTTTTTTCCAGGGGCTTTTGCCGAGGACAATTCCTGAGGAAATATTTTTGCACTTCAGTTCTAGTGGCATTCTCAAATAGTTTCTAGATTCATTAGAGTGCGCGCTGTGCAGTAAACACGAGCTTCTCTCCTTTGGTACGCCGAGCTGCGAGCCTTCGCTATTCAGCCGCTCATGCCGGCAGCTACAGACTTCAGGAATGCTCCAAGGGCCCCACGCTGCCTCAGCTCCCATGCTCCCCAGCACCAGTGCTCAGGTGGCTGTTGAGGAGCTCGGACTGCAACGGCAGCCCAGCAGTTGAGATTACAGACAGCAGGTGGTGCTCTATTCCTGTGACCTCTGGAAGGTGCCAAGCCTAACTACTTCCTATTAAATGCAAGGGAACAGAGCACCATTCCTGTAGAAATGTATCTCCCATAGCCTATCCCACCTCTAATAAAGCGTAGCTGAACTGGAAAAAAACGGGTGGTTTCCTGCTGGGGCTTTCTCCTCTTGGCACAGAATCTGGAAGTGCCCACCAGGGGCTGGTGATCTGTGCAGGTGCAATTAAAGAGGGACCAAACCATGAGCAATCTGACTTGAGTTGGGCTTGCTTTCAGGAAAGATGGCCTGAGACAGGTAACAGGAACAGGACTTCATATACAGGAAGGGCTTCCTGAGGAGGATGTGGTGCAGTTACCACCTGCCATGGGCATGAGAAGACATGAGCGGTTTAAACAGCAATCCAAGAGTTGCATAAGCAAAACATTGCACTGTACCCCACATTTGTGTGTGTGTGTGTGTGTGTGTGTGTGCACGCGCGCAAGTTTGCCTGTGCCTGAGGGGATTAAAAGCAAAAACCAGAACTGAAGACAGGAAATCCCTGCTCTAGCCGGGATCCTACTTCATGAGCAAAGTGTTTTTGATTTCATCTTTTGAATTTTTTTAAGTACAACCAGTCTGCATGTTACACAGATGCATTGCACTGCAATCTGCCCCAGTGGAGCATGAGGCTTTTGCATGCATTTCCATGCCTGATTTGCAAGTGGGAAAGAATTCAGAGGGGGCAATTTAAGTAGCTTCACCTTTACCCTTGAATATTTCCAGTGGACTACATTGCAGGGCTGCTGTGCGCTGCACGGTCTCAGAACAGCCCTCTTAGCTTTTTGTGGGGTGTTACGATGACCTATGCTTCAGGATTGGAGCAGGGGGTCAGGCAATTCAAGTTTTTATTTCAGTTAGAGTTCAGTTGCAATTTATGTTGCTGTGGTATAGTTCAGACCAATATAATCAGTAAGGGTTTGGCGCACACATAAGCAACTGCTTTAATTCTGCTGCACGTGAGCAAATTAAAATAGATGGTACCTGTTGTGATCCTTGACCGGGTGCAGCAGAGTAAAACAGCAGGTCTAAACTGCTGCAAACATCACCAGCAAGTAACATGAAGCAAGTGTGAAAAATAATAAACACTTGAAATGCTTACTGTATTTCATTCATACTGTTCGGTGTTAATCACACACCTAGATGCATGCATAATAGGTGAAGCAGCAACCAAATTGCTTTTAAAGAGGATGGATATGACTTAGTGAGACAAGCACAGATCTGCCACTGTGATTAGTTAATTTCATGATTATATATGCTTTGGACCGCTTTAATCAAATGAGGGGAGAAAATGAGCCGCCTTAAACAGATGGATCTCTTGTGTCATTTGCGCTGTTGAACAAACCTCTGTGCAGAGGGAAACAGGCCTCCAGTTCAGTTTGGCCTCATGCTGCCTCCACGTAGCCCTTGAAGGAGGCAGAACACACAAAATGGAGGCGCCTGTACAAACCCAACAGATATAAAGCTGCCGAGACTCTGGTTCTCTTTTATACGCTCATCCCAGTGGAGTGATGTATCACATCAGGTGTTCTGTTCCTTGGTTGAACCCATACTGTGAACCAGTAACCCGGGTTTGCGTTCTCAGTTCTGTTCTGGTTCAGCTTCTCTTCTGGCTGGGAGAAAAAGAAAAGGTTCATTTGTGCTTCTGGTTCAGGTTTGGCTCAACGCACTGCTTTTCAGCCCAACCTGTAACAAAGGGTTAAAGGCAATGGATATCCTGGAAGGTTGTTGATGTAAGCGATGCTCTCAGCCTCAGACCTGTCATAGGGGTCTTAGTATCTCCAGACAACCCGGAAGGGTTATTGTAAACAACTCCGAGGCGAGGTTGCAGTATTCAGTGTGAATTATATTGTGGGACTGTCATAAGTCATCCTCTTCCTGCAACAGACTCCTCCAATAAGCAATTTGAGGACAATGAATTGTGTTGTGGTTGCTCTGGCATTTCATTAGCAGTGCTATCTTCTAAGAAGTTTCATGCAAAATAATGGAGTCAGACCAGAAACTCTTTTTTCCCTTTTAGGGTTTCGTTTAGAGGTGGTGGTGTGCACACCTTCCCCACAATCCCAGCTATATTAAACTATTTCTCTCCACTGATGTCCATGCAGCTCTCCTTCATCCTTGGGGACACTTAAAAATATAGCAATTCAGTGGAAATCAAGCAGTGACCTATGCAGAATGAGATATCTCTACCACATTTCTATAGAATATCTGCACACACATATTAATGTATATTTCTTATTTCAGCTTTTCTCCTATATGAGGAAACCAAGGCAGCTTACACAGTCCTCCTCCACTCCATTTTATCTTCACAGCAGCAAACCTGTGAGGTCGGTCAGACTGAGAGCGAGCGACTGTCCAGAGTCACCCATGGAGCTTCACACCAGAGCAGGGACACGGAAGCGGATCTGCTGGGCCCTCAGTCCAACACTGATTCTGCTGCCTCCCACCCTCACCGCCCTGGGAGTTCTCTCTGGGGCTTTAACCTCCCATCAGCCCTTCTTGGTTGTTCAGCTTACCAGTTTGGTCAACATGCAAGGCAGGGCCATGTCATGCTGCTGAGCCTTCTGCATCCCATGTGCGACTCGCCCCAGAGGCATGCATATGCAGGGCACAGATGCTGGCAGAGGGGACTCTCCCAGTCAGGGCACACCCCTGCACACAGGAGCGGAGCCCCCTTCCTGGTATGTGTGTTGGCTTAAGCGGAAAAATAAACCCCCGGACAGAATGCTGGCTGGCTGAAGCCCTGTGTCCTTGAATTCCAGTGGGGCTGCTTGGGGGATCTTTGGCCCACTTAGGGTTGCTTGATTTTTCTTTTCATTTCTCCAAAGCTTGGGGTTAGCCAAAGTCCATAAATGCCTCTTTCTTGTGAGTGGTACAGTTTGGGCTCGGGCCCCAGCAGCTCAAGAAGACTGAATCAATGTGGGGGCATTGCCAAGAATTTGGTGAGCCGTAAAATCCTCCCACTGCTGCATTTCTTTAAAGAGAAGCATAATGGCCTGGGTGGGAGTCCGGTCCTTGCATCGGCTGGAGTCACTGGACAAGGCCTCTTACCTGTCTAGCATCTCACTCTTGCACTAGGTGGCTGTAGCAACAGGTGGAGAACAGCTGAATAAAGGCACAGTGGGAATAAAGGTCCCAGTAGTCAGGGGCAACATCCATTGGCCCCCAATCTCGGAAGGTAGGAAGTGAGCATACCCCACATTGGATGAATAGAAATCATGCACATCCAGAAAAAGACATGATTTCTGTCCACCCCATTCCCAAGTTTTATGACAGATCAGCCCCCAGCTGAATTTCTAACAGTGCTGCTCTTTAAAAGGAAAGGTGGACACAGCTTGTGACTGAGCCTCAGAGAAATTAAACAAGCCACTTGTTTTGGCCACCTGCTTGGAGGTTTGATGCTAGAAAAGGCTACTACCCGGTAACAGATATTTTTGAAGGAGACATTGGGAACTTGTTCAACATGAAGTGCTGCTTTTCAAAGCAGTCCCGCTGGAGAGCTGGGAGCTTTCTCTCCTATGGCTGCGTTATTAAAAATTAAGTTGGTTTAAAAATAAGTCACATGTACAGGACATGGTGGCCTTCCTTTCTGGGTACTGAGCAGGCCAGCAAATGATGGAGAGAACTGCCACACCCAAAAAGGCTATCGGGAGAGCGGAGAGCACAGGGCACTGCATTCTCAGCGAGTTCAGCTTAAGGCTGCAAGCGTGGCAGCACTGATTTTCGGATCTTTCCCCGGAAACAGCAGTAAAGAGTTCAGCAGTGGCGACGCTGGTAGAGAGGAAGCGCACGGATACCGGAAGGCAGGGCTGGGAAACCTCTGGCCTAGCAAAGGCTCCAGCTTGCTCCCTCCTTGGGCCCTTCCTGCTCTCCCCTCAAGCTCTGCTGCTCAGCCTAGAGGCTCCTGGGCACTTGAGGAGCACGTGGAGAGGGAAGTCCTCTGAGACCTCCATCCAGAGATGACAAAGGGTTTCCCCTCAACTAGGGCACCGCTCTCCCTCGGCTGGGAAAAGCGTGGGCTGGGCAAAGGCAGTGCCCTGGCCCAAGCAGCGGCTGATGACACCAGCCACCACAGTGGGGAGCAGGTCTGAGAGAGGAAGAGAGGAGGAGGAGGAGGAGAAAATGGGTGGGGCAATGCGATCAGTGAGCGTGGCTCTGCCCAGTGGGGCTCCTCTGGCCCACGGAGGGGCACAGGCCACTTGGTCCCCTGCCAAAATCTGTTTCCCACCCCATAACGGAGGGATAGATGGATTGTATGGGCAGCAGAGCAGGGAACAGACCACAGCTTTGGAAGTGGGGCACAGCAGCTCCATTTCTAAGCCTTCAGCAGGCACATCCCCAGTCCGCCGCCTAAAGCTGTTCTGCCCTAGAGGAGCTGCCTAAAGCATCTCATGGGACATGTTGCAAAACACCAATATTACTGGTGATGTCCCTGTATGTCAAAATGAGGCAGGGCAGGTAAAATTGTTTTTAAGAATTGCATGATATATAATTTTGCATAATTTATTTTACTCGCAGTGAATTTCTAGAATGACTTTCTTAAGTTTGGTTTTTAACCTACAGGAAATAAGTTGCTTGCGTCTTTGAGAAGAATAAATACAAGGGGTTTTAAAACAGAATGATCCAGTTTTAGACACAGGAAAACACACTGAAATATCCGCCTTGGGAATCCAAAAGTTTGCAAGTTTTATTATTATATTTTTGGCAGACTATATTCCAAGTGATCATCGTGGCTTTATACAGAAGCCAGTGAGCTGTGTGTTTTGGTTGAAGCAACACGGGCGTACGCAGGCGCATGGATGTGTCTGGGGTGAGGCGGCAAGGCTTATTCCACCCCTTCACCCACTGGTCATGTTGCTGGTTGTGGACTCACCTCACGGGGACCATGCCCCCCTCGCCCCTGCATGGCTGGGGTGGAGGATGAGGGGACTCTGGCATGCACCACCCTGACGGGTCAGTTCGGCCTTGCGCAGGCCCTTCAGATGTGCTTCACTGCAAAGCAACAAAAGAGTCATGAATGTCAGTTCAACGCCCTTCTTGGTACGATGCTTATTAAGTCAAGATCCAGCTCTGACCATGGAGGAGATTCTTCTGTCAGGCACCACCTGCGTCGTCCTCCCCTTCCTTCGACTCTTTTGCAGTGTAAAAAGAAGCAGCCCCATCCTTCCGACACTGTGACTGGGCCACGTTCTTTGCGCACACATCGCTCGCAGCCCTCACATACGCAAAGCCCAGAGTTATCATTTCCGAAAAGCAAAGACGTCTCGCGATTTCAGTCCCTTCCTGCCTTCGTTCCCCGGCTTGGGAGAAGGTTCATCCACCATGCCCCCGTAAGGGCAGCTGTCGGAGTCCGGGTGATTTCCCGTACACTCCACGGCGGGGATGTAGCCACTGTCCCACATGCCTGTTCCACACAGTTTGCAGAGATCATGCAGGCTGCAGGGGATCCGGGGCAGCAGGCGGAACTGATAGAGCAAACTTCTGGCCTAGGAGAGAGACAGCAGAAAGGTCAAGACAGACAATGGGAGAGCAGCCCGAGCTGGGATTAAGCTGCCCTACATCCAGACATGGTCCATCTCGCTTACCCGACTTGCTCCCTGACTGGAAGCAGTGGCTCTTTGGGGCTTTAAGCCAGGTGCTTCCCTGGCCCTACCTGGGGGGTCGTGGGGCTTGAACCTGGGACATTCTACCTGCAAGGCAGGGTCTCTGCCACTGAGCTGCAAGTCCTTTCCTGGGGAATAAGTGAGCTTGTTCAAGATACACACATCTCAGATCCCAAGGAAGCTCCATCACCGTCTCCCAAGGAAAACACACACGTTCTGTAGGGACCTACACATACTGCTTGTAAGCAGACAGACATGCGAAGCAGGTGGCAGTTTTCTCAAACCACTGAATACTGGGTCTTTATTTACCTTCCTGAGTATGAGCTCCCCATTCATGTGCATAGCCAGATTCCCAAAGTGCAGCAGCATCTGGTCAGTAGCTAATTGCTGTTCAATGACATCATCTCCGTAAATCACCACAATCGCCACGCAGATGAAGAGGTGGAAATAGTCAGTCTGCAGCAGCAAGTGACAAAGAAGCAAAACAAGAGGACGAGTTCATACCGACACTACTGTGGCGGCTTTTAGACTTAGGAAACAGGAGCTATTGAGTGATCGAGGTTCAAAACCCCACTCAGTCACGAATAAATGTAGGGAACTCCCTTGCAGTTCAGGCTCCCTTGCTTACTCCTGCCCGGTGCCGGCCGTGGTCAGCCTTGATGGGAGCGGCAAAGATTTAAACGTGCTTGATCAGGAGTGCAGACCAAGGAACATGCTTCAGGCCTGCTGCCCAAAAGGCAGGTATGGCTCCCAGGAAGCCTTTTCAGTTCAAGCACCGCATTCTGCCTCAGAGATCTCGGGGGCCACATTCCAGTGCCAAGTGGGACTGAGCTCAAAGGGTTCAGGGCAGAGTGCCTTTGGAGCTAGAAGGTCTTACTGAGCAAGTCTCTTGGAGAGGCATTTCAGCCTTCAGAACCGCAGGAAAACTGCACCAACACCAAGAAACCACTGAATGATTAGTGGGTGGGAGAAAGCGGGTAGAGTGAAGGGAGATCACTGGGCTGAGATTCCAGAGGGCTGGATTTGACCCCCAGGCCTGTGGTTTCCCGCCTTTGCACTAAGGGCTGCATCGTTATGGTGCTCCAGCTTCCTGCTGCCCACAGGCAAGGAAGGCATGTGTAGCACTAACAATGGGGCAATGCATAAGGCCAGCATGCACTGCCTTCCAGCCCCTCTGGGCTATCGGACCAGCCACAATCCGTACAGAACAGCATGTGGTAAGAAATTATTATTCTCATCCTGTGTCATGGGCTTCCCAGAACTTCAGCTATGGGAATGTAGGGATGAATGAGGATGCCAACAGGCAGTGAGAACCTGCCAGAGTTTCACATTTTGGCTCCCCCAGATTCTGGTTTGCTAGTCCTGTGCTGGGCACTGACTTACTGTAGTGCAAACTGGGCCGCCTCGCAGACTTCCATTGCTAAGATGGGCCATGGTTTGTGCATTTTAAAACACCACCACACAAATAAAACAACAAAACAAAACGCACAAATCACATGATTTACACACATTGGAAGCTTACAACAGTCTGATGTGATTTGCACAAATCATGCTAAAATAAGTTTTCAGCTTCTAATGTGTGCAAATTTCTGATCTGCCAAATTTCCTCAATTTTTTTTTAAATGTGCAGACTACTGCCTGCCTTAGAGATGACGTGCACAACCCCACTCAACTCAACCCACTTTCGGCCATCAGATTGTAAACGGGCAGGAAATCCAGTGAACGCCAATTTCTGCGGATCGGCTCATCCCTATCCATCAGCTCCAAATAAAAATGAAAGTGCTCCGCTGGAGAGCACATGCTGGTTTCCGCAGGCTCTGTACTTCTTGCTGCCGCATGGTAAGCCAGTGCATGCTACACAAGGCAAAGGTCACTCCTACATTTGACAGAATGCAGGAACTAGTGGCCTACACACAGGCATCTGTCTGCAACATCGGTGGACCACAACTGGGGAGGCGAGGTGGGAGCACACGCAAGTCCTGCCCTCCAACCTCCCCGTGCTCCAGAAAGGCATGCATTGAGCACAGGGATCTGGAAGGGGATCTGCATTTGGCTGAATGCGCTTGCAAAGCTCCTGCCACTCATACAGGCCGAGCTCTCATGCGCGGGCCTTTTGCAGGGGCATTTGTTAAATGCAGCCATAGAATCCTTTTCAGGTGATCGTGCTGAAAGAAGAAAAGCATGAAGCAGCTGGGCACATCGAGACACTGGGGTGGGGGTACATAGGCAACCTGCTGAAATGCCGAAAACACAGGATGACCAGGACAGATTTCTGTGTGGAACGACACTGAACTCCATTTAGTTCCGACACTCTAAAAACAAATTCCTGGGCTCGGACCTTCCTAATTCTAAGTGCATTTTTCTTGCATCAGGCTCTGGTTGGTCAATCTTGGGGTTCTAACAACCGCCCCCCCCCCCCAATAAGATTCTGCAAGCCTGAAGTCTGCCCACCAGTGGTTTAGGTCCAGACCCCCTAACTTAAGGCAGGAAAGCCACTGCTAGGAGGAGTGGCCCCTCCATGCTGCTCCACCCCAGTTATGCTAGCCAAGCTGCTTCCCCTCCCCTCCCCTCCCCTCCCCTCCCCTCCCCGCCGGGATCCCCACCTCCAGGGTGCAACTATTCAGCAGAAAGAAATGTGTGCAAGCTGCACACAGCAAACACAGCTTGGTGGCACGCTCCTCTTACAGACAAGAGCCGGTCGGACAGAAACCGCACGCTCTTTCCTGCTGCTCAGTCCTGAGGCTAACCACCCAGAGAAGAGGAGAATTAGCCTCCCTGTGAGCACGGAGGTCCTTCAAAGCAACCTTTACACCTTGGGGGAAGGCAGGCAGCCAGGCTGCAGTGACAAACGGAAGGCAGGCTGAAGCCGCTCAGGCTGATGGGCTGTGACAGCCGAAAGAGCAGCAGCCCAGCGGCTCCGTAATGAACCACCAGGGTGAAATTGGCATGTGTCTGTGTAATGTCACGGGCAAGCGGTGGGGGAGAAGGCCAGCCGCTTGCCCAGATGGCAGAGGACACATGCTCAGCTCATCCCCGGGAAGGCAGGGGAGGGCAGAGGGCTGGCACCTGGCACCTACAACTGGCAACATTCCCAGGCAGCACTCATCCCCAGAAAGCAGCGCAAGCACCCGCAACTGAGAGGACATCTCAGCCCCCAAGGCCTTACCTGGTAGTGAGCCCAGCAGGCTTCCCAAATACGCAGCGCCTCCGCATCTGGAAACTCCCGCTTGAAGCAGAGGAGGATCCAGCGGTGGCAGAAGAGCATCTGAAGGCCGTCCTCCCCGAGGGAGGCCAGGTGGTGGTAGAAGCGCCCGTGCATCAGCCGCAGCAGTTCCCGCAGATACATCTACAAGGAGGAAGGGAGGCTTAGCTTAGCCATGCCTGTGTCTTGTTGGAGGGGGGAGGGGCAAACCCTGCCAAACCTACTCCTCCAAATCTGACCTCTAGTTGTGTTGGAGAACAACTGCTCCAATTGCCAGCCGGGGTGGCCAAACGTCCAGTGGCAGAGAAGATTGCCTTATATTCCAGCTTTCCCCAACCTGTTGTCTTCTAGATGTTTGGGATTTCAACTCACATCAGCCCCAGCCAGCAAGCTCAATCGTCAGGGATTATGAGCTACAGTCCAAAACATCTGGAGGGTACCAGGCTGCCCACTCGAATCCATTCAGGGCCAGCAGCCTATTCACAAACAGAATTGCTCGCAGGAATAATCTACCAGTTGTGCTGCAGCATTTTCCAGAAGAGGAAATTTCAGCACCCCCAGAGCATTCTCCTTGCTGATGCCGCCATTGCTGCAGGACTGCCTGCCTGACATTGCCCACACTGCTCACGCAAGCTCCTTTTGCCCACCAGCTGCACAGCATCACCAGCAGTAACAGGGATGCACCTGTCATGTTTCTGATTGATTTGGAGGTGAAGGGCCAGAAGGAGGGCGTAAACTCAGCGAAGCTCCAAGCTGAAAGCCTCACCAGTTGCTTTTCCATATCCTCATCCCGAGGAGAGCTAATGAAGATGGTATTCTGCATCAAACCCACAAAGCACCAGAACGTATCTGATTCATCCAGGACCTCAGCAAGGATGGGGGCAACGAGGTCAGACATCCCCTGGGAGTAGCCGATGGAAGGGTTGTACACTGCGTAGTTCAGCAAGATGCGCCTGCGAAGCACAGAGTCAAAAGACGAAATGGTGAGGCTGTTGGCCAAGTCCTCAAGCAGCCCTGCTCTTTCCCAAGGACCGAAAATCTCTGTGCAAGCAATTCTGGGCCAAAGGGGCATAAAACATCTCAGCTAGTCCTTTACACACTTACCCAGAAGTAGGTCCTAAAGAGCTCAGTGAAACTGGCTTGGAAATAAGCCAGTCAGACCCATAAGGTTTGAAGTGCTGTGGCTTGATCATGCCTCTTTGCAGAATAAAATCCCACATTCCAACCACCATCCACCATCTCCCTGAAAACCAGCTCTTGTTAACTTCGTTTTTGTTGGCCCGTCTGAAATGCTACGTACCGAACATTGGTCTTTGGGGGCATGGGTGAAATGAAAGCATCCTATAGTTTTTCCTTATGAAATTTTTACCAACTGCATAGAAGAAACAAACTAGCTACACATCCCTGGAATAGGCTTTCAGTCTATTGCATCTTTCCATATGCCCCTTACGGACAGCAGCATTGCACTAATAAATCCTTAAACAATGTGAGGTGGCCAAACTGACACAACAACATCGCAGCTTCATGGTGGGCTGCAGCAGTGGCAGAAGCCCCATTTTCCTGTAAGGCCCTCTTAGAAAGAACAACATGCAGCCAGAATACGATGCCTCCCAAGCTCTGTTCTACAAGTACATGCAGGTAGGTAGGTCCGAATGAGCACAAGGAGTGGAGCCTCCCAAAATATGGAGCAGCAGCTTTTCCTTCAGCAGGAAGTTGGCATGTTCCAGACAGCCTTCTGCAAAAATCAGAAAAGGGTGCCAAGAGCAAAGAGATCAAGCCACGAATTAGGAAGTCCACAGGTCAAATATCATCTCTGCCATGAACTTAGAGGTGGCTTGAGACAATGGCTCTTTCAACCTTACTTCCTCCATCCGCAATATGGGGGAATGATGACACTGACTTATAGGGGCTTGGGTAATGATTTCAACTAGATAACACATGCAGCACACTAGTAAGTGCCACAGAATATTGTTGTTCTTACTAACAAAAGTAATAACTCTTCTTCTACGATGATTAAATTAATTTCCTTCAGGCCAAAAGCCCATACACCTTTTCTGGTTTTCATAGAAGCATGGTGCCTCAGAGCCTGGCTTCAGAGCATGAATACATCTGGCCATTTCAATCTCCACCCACTCTTTGACCCCAGTGGGAGAAAATAATCACCTCATCGTTTCCACATTGGGGTTGTTCTCTCCTCGGAAGAACTGGTTACTGCGGTCGGTTCTCACTACGTCTTTGTCGACCGTGAACTGCACATTCCGCCAGAAGGCCTTCTGCTCCTCTGGAGCCAGGGAGAGCCTGAGCACACAAAACAGTGTGAGTAGCGCCGCAAACCAGAAGCTGCCGATGCTGGTGGGGAGGGACCTAGGGGATCCCTCTGGGCTTGGGCCAAAAGGAAAGAGAGCTCGTGTTCTGCTGCAGACCAAGTAGCTGCCTTCCTCTTTGATCCGTTTCCCCTCAAAGAGACTCTTGCTCAGCAGAGAGGGCTTAGCCAGCTATCTTTCCGCAGCCATGGCCTGCAACTACCTCAAATGAGTCTTGCAGAAAAAATGTGAGGATAGGAAAAAGCAAGTTAAAAGTATGCCAACAAAGGCTCTAACAGACACAGCTGAGCTGGTTGTCCAAAGAGAATCACTTTTTGGAGACATGGAGAACTGTCCACCTTGACAGTGCACACGATCATTCTAGTATGTTCCACCAGCTTGGCTGGATCTTGAAATGCTTCAACTGCTACTCTGGAAACACCTAAACGAGATCACTGGAGTAAGAAGAGCACTTCTGCAGCAACGCGTGGTGCGACGATGAGTGGGGTGGTGTGACTTGGTGACCTGCAGTGTCAGAGGGTGGGACTGATGGCCTTCTTGGCCCCTTCTGATTCTACTATTCTATGATTCTGTAAACTGTTATGGGTATGCCTATTAGAGATGGGATGCATCAAGCAGTGCCCTTTCTTCCCCTAAATAACTACAGAACTTTTGAAACAGACTTTAAAGCCATTTTCTTAATGTGAAAGGGCAGATATACATCAACGTATTTGCTTGTGTAGCCCTTGAATAAGATCGCATGGAGTATGTGCGTGTGTCATTTTGCTGCACTGAACAACTCCATTGACTTAACACAGGATTTACAGGAGCAGTTGCAGAGAGGAATTTAGGAGAACTGGCACAGAACAGACTTTCCCCCTCCTCTGTACAGTTCCCGAGTTACAGATGCTGGATCAGGGCTATTGTCCCAAGTAGCCACAAAGTGGAGATTGTGCTCAGCTGTCTATATGCAGCTTTAGTTCCCTTCCATAGGTACCGTCACTGCTAGCAGGGGCTTTTTCAGGTGAATGTTGTTCAGGGAGTGGGAAGGAGGGAGTAATGCTTCAGTCTCAGTATCCATTTAGCACTACTGCTTATAAAAGCTATTTTAAAAGGCACTATGTAACCCATCCTTCCCCAACTGGGGGTCTTCAAGATGTGTTAAACTACAACTCCCAGCATCCCCTGGGCGATGTAGCCCAACTCTTGAGAAGGACAGGAGGTTATGGAAGGCTAATGAAGACATGCCTTGAAAGAATAGGGCAGGCGACCTTGCATCCGGTACTGGTACCTTTTCTGCTGGATCTCAAAGTATTCCTCTCTCTTTTGCACTCGGAGCGCCTCCCTCTCCTCTGACGTGGATTCATAGCTGTAGTAGCACAACAAGAAAGGCCAAACCTCGCCACGGATGGAGACATCGATCCCACCAAAGAAAATAGCCTGAGGAGGAGGGGGAAAGAATGAGAAACTGTGGCAGAGAAAAGTGTCATAGTTTCTGAAGCTGAATCTCTTTTGCTCTCCCTGACAAGTGATGCCTCGATTCAGGAGCCACAATCTGCACATGCTTAAAGAGAAAGCAGCGCCCCCTTTCTCAGAGGAGACACAAATCAAGCTCATTTCAATGTCAATAACCCCCCAGAGGGCCTGCACAATTAATGCATCATTCTCACCTCACAGCTTAATCCCCAATCTTGGAAACTTCACACTTGGACCAAGTCTTGTTATACAACCCTCACCACTTAATTATTTTAAGCCAGACTGTTTCAGCAGCTCTCTTTAGATTTGACATCCTGCCCAAGCACCCCTAGTACTGTCCACTAGCCCCCATATGCCAAGGAGCAGCTGTAGGCAATGCAACGGCAGCAATCCCACAGAGAGGGGGGAGAGGGAGAGAGGGAGAGACAGACAGACAGACAGACAGACAGACAGTCAGAGGGGGGGAGGCTACATTATTCCGCACTTAACCAACTTGGTTTCCATCTCATTGCAAGAGCTAGAGACACATGCAAGGGATCCGGGCTCGCTCCAGATTTCGCACAGAACTTTCTTCTTTCAGAACAAGCAGAATGGAAGGAGCCACTGTGGTTTCTCCCCCACCTTCCTCAGCTTGTATTCTTCTTCCACCTGCCCAGCCTCATTCAGGTGATGGAGCCATGCAGAGACATCTAGGCGCTTGTAAGCATTCTCCTCTGGGTGGGTCTCTGAGGAGGGCAGCTTGGGTCTGCGGATGGAGAACTGCATGCAGGTCTTCACATCTGTGAATTGCTAGGTGGGAGACAAAAGAGGAGAGGGCCAGGGCAATCGCTGCAGGAGCCTTACCTCTTTCTGGGCATCTTAACCAGGTGGCCATCACAATGAAATAGAAGCTCTTGTGCTCAGATGTCCTGGGAGAAGGAGCAAGCCTGGAAGTTTGGGAAGGCTTCTGGCCCAAGCCAACAAATACATTTGTTGAGATCAGAGTGACATAAGGCAACTTCATTGCACTGCCTTCCTTTCCCACCCCTCCCCATCCAAGATCAGAATTAGCACAGCTTGCAGCACTAACTTGGGCCTGCCCAGGAATGCATGCAATAAATTACATGTGATTGGCCACATACAAAAGGACCGCTGCTGTCAGGCAAGAGAGGGCAGCGGTGCCAGGCTCTCCGAGGACACTTGCTATTCCATTCCAGGGTGAAAACTGCAAGCTGACATTTAATTTAAAAATCAAAAGGTTGCTCCGCACAGACTCGAGCCCCCACAGTAATATAATGAGAGGAAGACAGCAGGAGAGAAAGTGGGGTGGGGAGGGCAGCCGGAGTGGGTTGGCGGGAAGGAAGAGAATTTAGAAATCACTGTTTCTAACAAGCATCTCTAGTATCTTTAAACATATAATTAAGGCCTTTATGAGGCCTTTGTGCAGACTGAAGCAGGATATGGCAAGAGCGCCTTGTCAAAACATCATTTGCACAGACTGCCAGGAGTCACAGCACAAACTCTTTCAGCGGAAGCGTAATCACAGAGCCAACGCAGGCCGATCAAGGCGCCAGTGCATCGTGGGCTGGATGTGAGCAGCCCAGCCCCTTCTGGGGATTCATGGCACTCATTCCTTTCCACACCAAACAAACAAGGAACGGTATTCCTACCAATAAACCCTGCGAGAATTGGCTTTTTGCACTGCCATTCCCCAGTAAATAGAATAACGAACAGGTTGCTTTATATGTAAACATACCGATCTGTAAAGGGTGCTAAGAAGCAAAGAAATGAAAACAGGCCCAAATCTAGGCAACAGGTTATAAAGGCCAGTATGTATTTCTGCTGGCTCCTTACAACAGGGCAACCTTATCGGCAGCAATGCCTTTTGCTCTGCCACCTTCTGAAGCCTGGGCCAGTTCTCTACTTTGTCAGCCATTTGAGTTTCTCTAGTGCTTGCGAACACTTTGTCTTGTTGAAATTATATTCCTTTGATTTGTTTGTTTGTTTTCCCACAAGGAGCTACGGCTGAAACAATAAAGACTGACCGAAAGGAGTGATCTGCCCAGTGCATCATTTCACAGCAAACACTTCAGCCTTTGAAATGCCTGCTTGGCTCAAACTCACGAACCACACGCCGCATCTTCCTGCCATTCACTTGTGCTTACTTAGACCCATGTCAAGCCGTGCCATGAATGAATGCTTTGGAAGTCCTCATTCCAACTGTGCTAAGCAAGGGAGCAAAGCAGGGCGGACTCCCCTTCTCCTGCAGGAGGAACGGGACACACCAGAGCATCAGGGTTCGGGCGAGCCCTGGCCCTTTACCCAGACGCATCAGAAACGAGGCGTGCGGCTCAAGTGTCCTTCTCTCCAATTCCTCGTCAGCTACAAAGCCATGGACTGGTTTTGGAGTGCTTCTCTGATCTTCATGTCTTACCTGGTTTTTGAGATGGGTCTCCGTGCAGTATTTCCATTGCTGAAACACTTCAGAAATTTTATCCAGGCCACCATGGTGAAAGTGGAAAATCTTATACTGACTCTCCCTGCTAGCGACAACAAGCTGCCCGCTGGTACATGCCTCATCACTGAAGGAAAATGGGCGGGGAGAGAAGAAGGCAGAGAGAGTCAAGTGCAGAATTTACCAGCCAGAATGGCTGGGCTTGGGGCATCCGCAAACAGAGAAAGCACAAGCATTGTCTGCAGATTCCTCTGGCAGGTGATGCAGCTGAGCTGCATCATGCTCAGCACCTGCCCCAAAAGATACACTCAGAAAATGTGGCTGAGATGACGTATGAAGGGCAAATGCAGGCAAAAGGTGCTGAATCCAAACTGGTTTAGTTGGGATTTCCAGAGATCGGGTGCCCGTGCCCTTCACCCATCTCCGTAATTCCCCGCATCTCTTCCAGGCCTCTCCCACAAGCCCCCTCTTCCTTCCTTACAGACTGGATCGGCAAGGACTGAAATGGTAAGTTCTCTGGAAACTCCAAACCAGAGTCAGAATGAATTATGCCAACCCTTTGGCCTTATTTTGCATAATATATTCCGAGCACATACTGTGCTTCCCCCACCCCGCCCTGCCCCACATCCCAGGGGGAAAGGTTGATTTTCACTGTCATTTCCCCCCTGCAGAGCACACACGGCTCTGATTATGAGGTTTCATGGCCCAATTGGCACTTGTGAGGCCTCCCAGAAGCAGCACACACCACCCTCTCCTCTGCACCCCGAGCGGAGCGTTGCCTGCATCTGGCAGTACTTATCAGGTTGTTTATGGTAATCAACCTGAGCCCTGGTATCCCAGGCACTGCACAAACAACAAGAGTATCAGGTGGAGCTGGGCTGCCCACTGAGGTCCTGTGGACATGTATCTGAGCGAAATGGCTGAGGAGCCGGCTGCCAGGATCGGTTTGCTTCTCAGAGAAGCGGCATGGCATAAATAATCGCTACACCAGACGGACCTACAATAGAGACAGCAGGTGGATGAGAAGGCTTGTTGGATACAGAATTGCCCCCTTAACCTGAAAACCTTTTATGTCAGGGACAGATAACACAGAAATTAGAGGCAGTCGTGGGTGACCGGTGGCTCATGAGACTTTCAGGAACCCTGGTTTTCCTTTGAAAAGAAAAGAAAAGGATCTCATTTCTATGGTTACCAAGTCCTCACCTGAAATTAATGGTAAGTGTAGAGCTAGCCTGACTTTTTCAAGGCAGCTTAGACAATCTTATTCCTCTTCTCCATTCTATCCCTGTTTTTATGTTTTTCTTTGTTAACTCTGAGTATCTCAGGACTTACAGTTTAAAGCAACATTTGTCCCAAGTTACATTTGCCTTTTAATTCAGAGTCTGTATCCATCTCCTATAAGTGATTACCTCCCTGCTTGGTTCATGTCTTAAAACATCCAGCTCACCTAAGGAATCTACAAATCTGAACACTTCAGGCTGATAAAGACACTGAGTTGCCCATGAGCTCAGACAAGTACTTCCACCTACTCTGGTCTTCCAGGAGATCACAGCTACCTGGGCCTGCAAGAAAGCCCTGGTGTGACCTTCAGCTGAACAGAAAGATTGAGGCCCCGCATTAGTTGGGGTGGTTTGTGCCACTTACAAGAGAACATTATGTGGTGACAGATTCATAACACCTCCACTGCCTATACTGCTGAATGTCTTCTTTGAGACCACGGGAATCTAGGCACAAGCAGTGTGGGGGGAGGGGGACAGCAGGGGAGAAAAGAATAAAGCAACAGCAGCAATTCTCAGGTTGGAATTACATATTATCTTGGCAAACACCCATATTTGCTGAGGTAATGTGTAGTCCCACTTTCAGGAAGTCAAATTTAATGTAGGTTGCAGATTCCAAGCCAAGGTAAGAAGAGCCAGTTATGTGTGAATTCAAAGAAGCTGGACTATTTCCAAGTTGCTCCCCCCCCACACTTTTTGCCAGTGCAATAAAATTCCTTCACAACTAAACATAGTAAACTTTGGGTCACTGATCTGCAGGCAACATGCTGTTAGAAGATGCAGGCTGCGAGGCCAGGGACAATCTGAACAGAATTATCTGACGCCATTAGAAGCTTCTACACAGGTTGTACCTAAAGTACATTCAAGGATGGAAGTGCACTCTGGTTTTGTTGTGAAGCTGCTCACTCATAGGACAGGTCAAAGGCCACCACGGCAGAAGATCTCCAAATGGATTTGCTTACCTGAAAAAAAGGCGAAGAGACCTCATCTGCCCCAGATCAACTCTGAAGACCCCACAGATCTGTTCCAGGGCAAACACCTTCTGCTGCTCATCCCACCGGGAGGTCTGCACTTGCCCATTATTCTCCTGGAACTGGGAGTTAGGGTCAAGGCTTGAATTGGAGCTGGTTGAACGAGTCATGTGGCTTTCGCATGGATCTCTACACCAAAATGAGAGCAGTGCACACACAGACAAAGAGAGGAAGAAAAAAAAAAGAGGCATGAAATTGAAAATTACTAACCGCAAAGGCTCAAAACCAAGGGTTTGTTTTGATGTGGGAAATTCAGGAACAACTCGGCTCAGCTGCAGAGCCCACTGTGTGGCCTTTGGCACATCATTTCAGCCTAACCCTATTCCCACAGGATTGCTGTGAGGATAAAATGCTCTTCAGCAAAAGAAAGGACGAGATGGAACAATTATATGATTCTTTCAATTCATGAAGTTTCACCTAAGTCTTTAGATGCAGTTTATTAGAGCTGTAAAGTGAAACGTCCAGTTTAGTATATCAGTTTGTGGGGTTGGCAACCCCATTCCCACAAACAAACTGTTTATCTCCCATCTCTCAACTGCCTACTGCCAACCCCAAATATGAAGGCAACAATGCTTAGCAAAAGTTCCCTCAAATTAATAGCCATGCACACAAAATCCAGGTAGATCTGGATATCAGGCAGCCATTTTCCTCATAGTATAACAATGCAGAGAAGAGGGGATTAAAACCAGGCAATGTTCCATGTGAATTTGCAAAGAATAAGATAGATAGAAGGTCCCTGCTCTGTGAACAACCTGGAAAACCAGAGCGCACATTCTGTCTGTGCCTTGGGTAACCCGTCTCAGCCACAGCTCTTCATTTCTGAAAGTGAAGTTGAAGCCTCTCAAATGGCTTTCCAGACTGCAAAGACAAACACTGCAATGTGCCTTATTCAGAAATGCTACCCAGTGTCAATCACTCACATACTTGCTATGGAAAAGAGTGTAGGAATGCAGGAATCTGGCCTGATCTGGAATTAGAGCCATGGAGTCACCTAACTCAATATTGCCTACTTTGACCAGCAGCAGCCCTTCAGTCACAAGCAGAGGCTTTTCCTACAATATCTTTCATCACCGCAGATGCTGGAGGGAGAAGCGGAGATTTCTTGCATGCAAAGCTTGTGTTTCACCACTGACCTGTGTGACCTCCTGTTCCAAAAAGTGCTTCCCCTTTGAGTTTTTGCACAAGCACTTTGGAAAGAGAAGTTGAGGGATGCACCTCATCACTGCCCCATACTTGTTTACTTAGAGATTTCTTAGCTACTTTTCTTGCAGCAGACAGTAATCAAAGTGGCAAATTAAGACACATTCACACTCTCTCCCTCATGAAAACTCTTTCTGAAAATGCCTCCTTTGCTATTCTGCTGGCATAGTTGTGGCTAAAAATGGTGGCGCTGTCAGACAGTTTGTGTTGTTCTCAGGGTGCATCTAGGATAGGGAAAGGTTTTGGGTCCTGAAAAGCACAGAGTTTAGTAGCAGCATTGACTGTTCAAAGGTAGGGACTGGTTATATTTCCCTTTCAAAAACCTGAAATTTAAAAAAAATCGTTGTCTACAGGCACACATTCTACAGCCAGAACACATCCATGTTTTTCTAATGTAAATATACTGAAATCTGAAGACACACTAGTCCTTTAAAAGAACACTTTCAAATTTCCGAAAAGCTTCTTGCTTGCTGTAGAGTATTCCCTATAGATACGCATCAAGCATCGTGGCTGTAATGCCCTTATAATAGAAATTTAATTCAGGATACCAGACAAAGACCTTCCCCAGGTTAAGATTACAGTTGTGGACAGGAAAAGTGGCAGCACAGCTGTTCAACTGCAAAAGCTCAGGAAGAACGACCCAGACAGTGCTTTTCAGCATGTTAAAGCATCCGAACACAGAGAGCTGTTGCTCCTCCCAAACGGGGCTCCGGAGTTTAGATTTCAGACATTAATTCATTCCCTTCCCTGCAGAATATGCCCCCCACCCCAAGAAAAACAGCAGTGCTCCGAGAAATAAGTGAATCTGAAACTGTGACCTTTAGGATCTTGAAAAGGCCAATCTATTTGAACAGCCTGAATAGGCCCTACTGTGAAATCATGGTTTGCAAAACAAGGCAAGGAGCAGGTATAAAAGCAGCCCCCTGAAAAGCCACTTTATGCAGTGTTTTCTAATCCGCTTATTGAACAATGTAGGCACTGAACGCTGAAGAAATCGCACACTCAGCATGCCTGTGCAGAACACCCCCGTCAGTAAGCTTTCCTATCCTGACAACAGTGCCCCCAAAACCAGGGCCACACCAGGCCACTGGAAGAGCTTTATTTCTAGCTTTCCCCAGCCTCTGGGTCATTGCATTCCAATACACATTCCCTAGATATCCAGGCTGAGGGCTGCATTGTTAACAGAGCCCCAGGGAGAAGACCAAGTTCAGCAGTGCAGCTTGAGACCAGTCTATGCACGCGCGCACACACACACACACACACACACACACACACACACACAGTAGACCTAACACACTCACCTCAAATAGAAACACAGGCTAAATGCTTTTAAAACACGTTTAAATTTAAAACACATTTTAAAAACAGAAATGCTCCACTTAGCTCCGAACATGCTTTCCGTTCTATGGCACATACTTAGTGACCACCAAGAAGAAATTCACAGCCTTCTTAGTCCCTTTCTCCACAGGTCCCCTGCATCTCCATTAGTAGGGGACAGCATATACATTCATGAATAAATAAATAAAATCTCTGCCTAATTCCCCCATCACCACAAAACTTCCCTCATCTTTCTGCTTTTTCCCTTTATCTAAAATAATGTGAGGTTTGGCACAAAGTGCTAAACCACCCCTGTAAACAAGCTACACAATGTAGGTTGCTTGCAGAACAATTCCCAGGACACCCCAGAGACGATGCAGCCTGCCCCAAGTCCTTCCCCCCTTCCTTCCCCCCTTCCTTCCCATCCTCCAGTCAGTGCCAATAGCACTCATCCTGTTTCTTGCCCCAATTCCCTCCCACTCTTATCAGTAACCTTTTTGCTCCCCAGCTGCTTCTTTATTTTTGAGAGCCTCAAAACTCTGCAATTGGGCCTACTGTATATTTATTCTTATCAGACACACCAAAAGTAGGTGTGAAAAAAACAAAGCAATCAGTGTATCAAAAGGGGAGCACACACAATATCTCCCCCTTGGCAGTGTGATCTCTGCCTTGAAGCACTGGACGGACAGTTCTCGTGTCCTCCACCTTTCCCACACTTCCCCCACTCTCCAGCTAGTTCATAAAAGGAAACTACTAACTCCCTCCTCCCTCTTTTTTCCCAGCTCCTTTCAAGAGCACTCACTGCTGCAATTACCTGGCAATTAAAAAAAAACAAACAAAAAACCTAAAGTGACTGCATGGGACAGAGTACATGAGGCTCTAAGGAGAGCCAGAAGTAAGAACTGCTAGTGGCAAACAAACAGAACCCCATCTGATGGGAATATTTGCAATTTTTTGCTGTGGGGAGGGAACTGAGAAGTAAATGGAAGAAGAAATTTGACCACTTGCAGTAAAGAAACAGTTAATGTAAATGCACAAACTTGATCTCCATTTGCTTCCAAGTCATTAAATTTCCCAGCCCCACAAAACTGTGCAAATATCCCCAAGGGTTAAAAAAAGATACAGCCTGGAAATGACAGCACAGCACAGAATGGACAGGACAGTAGCACCGCTCACCTGTGCTGACATCCTCCCCGCCCCATGGACTATTCAGTCCTATTCAGTCACCTCCACAGGTCCGCCCCAGCCCCAGCACTGCCAAGGAAGCACAGTGACCGGCGAAAACAGTGCTCTGACACCAACTTAGGACGGCCAGAATAACATCTCCCTTGCTTGCTCCAGCTGCAGACTTAGGGAAGTGCTGAAAAGGTGAAGGCCAAACTACAGTGCTAACGGAAAGATACTTTCTCCTACCCTTTCCCATACACCTACTTCTATTGCAGCTTTCTTCCTTTCCAGGGCTCTTTTAAATAGCACAAGTGGGTTCCTCCACTCCTTAGCACTGTTCCCCCCATCTGGGTCCTTGTCACCTGTGGGCAAATTAGCCTAACTATATGTAGTCTTGTCTGGTCACTTTCCTTGAATATTACCTACTCTATCTCAGGGCTCCTGAAACATACCAGAAAATTGACCAGAAAAGGCTACATATTGGATAGCTGCAAATGTGTTTCTTTGTACTTGTGCAAGACCAACAACAGAAAACAAACAAACAAACCATGAGCACATTTGAGCAATTTATACTCAATAAGGTGGCAAATGAGATAGCCCCTCCAAAGTGACATCTGGGTACTGGGGGAGGGGAGGTCCGACACTGATGGCAGCACCTCGTGCAAGACTGCAAAGAGCGGCAGGGGGTTTGTTGCTCCTGCCAAGTGGCTCTGCAGCAAGCCCAACAAGCCATGATGAAATGGCTCTCCTGGGTTTGGATGACACAACCAGTCACTGTGATACAAACAAGCCTTAGAACAAACCCTGGCTTGTCAGGGTGCCTTGGACATGAAACACATCATGCGGAAGTGCTCGAGTTTCTATAGCAACCCATTGTGGCTAGCTGCCCATGAAAAGCTGCTGTGTCACACGAACCTCCACCTCACAAAAGCTACCTAACATCTACATACTGCACCTGACAAAAGCAGAATGATTCGTGAGCATTCAGGGACATAACAGCAGCTCAATTAAAAATTAAGAGTGGGGGAAGGGGATTAGCATAATGGTTGCCTCTGCAAAAGCTCCCCACCCACCCCAAATCCTCTAGGTTTCTGGAAACAAACTCCAGCTTTAATTCTGTATATCACCAGAAATTAGGCACATCAGGTAAAAAAGTTAGGAGTTACCCCACTAATACATTCCATTTGCGTTTACCCCACAACTTATCTAACATGCAAAGAAATGATAGCTCAAGCTCACTTAATATACTATTTGGTTAGGTAATAACTGAACAGCTGGCGGCCTTTGCCGGAAGAATGGAAGTGGTCTGAAAAAGAACAGGCATTGCCAGAGTCTACATCTTCAGAAAGCTTAGTAAAAGCTGCTCAGAGAAAGCTATGGTGACTGTGCATGCATAGGAGTCAAAATCCAGAACTACTTTGCTCCCCTGCTCTGCAGAGCTAGGA